CTCCTCATGCACAAACAACAGATATTCATGTTTTACAACTGTGTGCTGATGTCACTGTAGGAGGAACTGGGCTTTATAAGAAACCAAGGACTGAGACCTCTCTGATGGATTAGGATGATGGGAATAACTCATCACTGACAAGAGTCAGCTTTAACCAGAAACTTTGTCAGAGTGTCCAGTGTTAAAACGTTAGTAGTTTGAGTCTATATATAAGCAACTGGAAAGTGACCAGGGGCCAAGTTTACAGCTGAGCAAATGACTGAAATTATGAAGCCTGGACTTCTTTGGGTTTAGGATGATGTGTGATTCTTGTGACCGGCGTATCAGCCCTATTGTCCTTGAAGACAGAAAGGTTGCGTGAGCCCAGTGCCTAAGTCAGATATAGTGGAGAGAGGTGCAAAAAGAAACGTACAAAATTTCTTGGAGAAAAAGGAAGCTTTTTGGTTTATTTAAACTTCTTAGAAAATTTTAGCCAAATTTTTATTTTCAAGATATCACATGTAATCACACAACAAGACTCACTGCGGCTTTCGGTGTAGGTTCCTATTTGGTTCTGAGGTTGGAAGAAAACGAAAAGCAAAGTTTCACTTGGATTAAAGTTTGATAAAAGTTGAAACTGTCTAGCATTTCTGAAATATCACTAAGAAGACCTAGAATGCATAGAATATTCCCAAAACAAATGACACTTCAGGAGAAAAGATGGAGGAGAGTAAAAATGAAATCACTTGAAAATGAAAATGCCTCTTTCTCATAATGAGTCCAATGACTTCTTGACTGTGTTTATTGATAGGTAGCTCTCATGAATAGGGCACAGGGTGTCACCTGAGACACGCTTAGAACTGGTTCACTGGGAGTCTCTCTCACTGCAGTAGAGATAACCTCAGTGATTGGGCATTTATTCATTTCTTCTTAATTTCTATTTTATTTTTTGATTCATGAAAACTTTAATGAGCAGTTTCTATGAATCTCAACAGATCATAATTAATACAAATCTACCAACTTTTAATTATGGATGACAACAAATAGACTACAGTAAACATCCTACTGCCAAGCTTCAATATTTTCTTTACTTACATTGCTCAGAACTAGCGTTTCCCAGCAGTAACAACACGTATTCGTTCATTTCTTATGAAGGCAACATAAGTGTTGGTGAGTTTTCGAATGTAAAATGATTTCCAGAATTGATCATGAGAAAGGCAGGCCCTGTGAGAACAAAGCCTGTCCTCTGCAAAGCCTGAAGGAGTTGGCCTTTTCTGAAGCCTGGTTAATAATCCACCCGCCTGACATTCCAGTGGTTACTGTGAGCTACAGGCAGGTTCCCCTAGACATTTTGAGTTTCCAAACAAATATTATTCATTCTGATAAGAAGAAAACATTAATCTTCCGCAATTTACCTTATCTTTTAGAATAGCTTGCAAACTAATAATGCAACAAGCTAATGAAGTAACTTTTTTTGTATTTTTATCTGTTGTTTATCAAGGGATATCGAAATATCAGTCTTATCAGTTACTATGCTCTATATATTTAATGAAATTGGAGATTATTTAAATACTGAATATTGTGACTCAGACTAAGTTATTATTGAAGTAAGTATAATGCCTGATGACTTTGTTAATGAAAATTCAAAAATCTGCCAACTGCAGCCGGACACCTTCGCCTGGGGATCCGGTCCTCTTAGCCCGGGCCACCCAGAATGTAGCCTTGAGCCTAGGGGAAAGGAGGAGATGGTTCTGAATAGGAAACAGCTGTCTTAGATCACAAGTGTGTAGGCCAGGAAGCCAGAAAGAGTGTAAAAAGCAAAGCAGCAAGTCAGAAACAAAATTGTGTTTGAGATGATTGTGGTGCTGGGTGCACCAACACTCAGGGCTTCAGAGGGATCTCCAACTGCAGAGTGAAAAATTCCTCAGGGGCTCTCTGAATTATCAGAAGGAGAGCAAAGATCATCAGAGTAAAGTATGATATTTTACATCCTTCGTTTTATTAATTCAGCAAATCTTGTTTGAATGTTCACTAAATCATATACTTTAAGAATGTTAAGTCTTACAAACTCGTGACAAGTAGCTGTTCTTATATCTGCATCCTAGATCACAGAACAGCACAGAAAGGCTGAGTAAATCATCCAAAGTCACACAGCTAATAATATGAGAATGGGATGATAAATTCTGCAGTGTCCAATTCACCCGGCTGTTGCCTTCTATCAGTCTGCTGCAACCTGCAGGGGAGATACTGAATCACGTCTATTCAAGGTTCTTAAAGAGCCAATCATCTTCTGAGGGGTGGTTTGAAAAATGAGCAATTGTTTGCATATCAAAAAGTGTTGTTATTGTTTTAAGCCATGCATGAATTTTTCTTCTTTTTTGATTTAATACCTAAACTGGTTACCTTAGGTAATGGAGAAACGAATTGGGTAGCGTTATACAAGGTTGAACACATCGATGACTGCTTACGCTTCTCAGTTAGTTAAAATGCAAAAAGGTTGAAACCTAATTGGCTCTAACCATTATTTAATTTATTTCACACTTGGCATTCCCCGGTAGAACTGCAAAAGGTAAAGTGTTGTCGTGTCTTCGTTTAGTTCCCGGAGTTCTAGAAGGCCAAGAAGGTTCCAAAGTCATTTATGAATAGCACTGCAGGAAAGACTGCCTCTGCCCCCTCCCTCAATCCTGGGCATAAATTCCAAGAATTCCACTTTCCCATGGCTATGTGGTATTTGGGCCCCAGGAGGTCTACCTCCCATGGTGGTGCTGATGGCTTCACTGATAGTCTACCAAGCTTACCTTGGTCTTGCCTCCTCTCACCCCCAGTGGTAACATTTCAGCCAATGCTTCCTCTCCCTATATTTGATAAACCTGCTCTTCTCTTTCTTTTATGTCTCCCACCCCAAACCCTATTTTCCTTGAGAGTTGTGTTTGGCATTTTCTCAAGGTCTAGGAAATGCTCCTCCATGCCTGCAGTTCACACTGTACAAATGCCCAGACTCACCCAGGACAGCCTAGCCCCACACAGGGCTTCACTACATGAACATTAATGCAAGGGAAGTCTCCCCACAACTCCCAACTGAGAATCAGACACAGGCTTCCCACATCAGAGACAAATTTAGAATGGATGTTGGAAGCTGTGGGTCAGCAGCTGAGAATACCTAGTGAGTGTCTCAGCCAGTGTGCAGCACTAGATTTGCAAAATCACTGAAAAAATCAGCACAATAGTAATACTAATAGTTCAGTGTTGGAGAGCTCTAAATGGTACCCTGATGGGTACCATAGGAGTTAATTGCATTATAAAATTAGAGCAATATGTAATAACATTTATTAGGACTTTTAAAATTCATTTGTAATCCAATGATCCAGCAATGCCATGGACATTATTTTAAAAGAAGGAATGCACAGACTTGAACTTGAGTAGTGCAGAGAGCTATAAAAATGAAGTATAATTTTCTTTTTGCATCCCTCCTACTCAACTTTCTCCTCCTGAAGAGGCTTTTCCCCCTGAAGATGGTTGTTGTTCCACCATCCAATTTGACTTGAATTTATCTTCAGTCATCCAAGAGAATTCTTTAAGTGTAGATACACAACTTTTAAAATGAACGTAATTGAGAGCACACTATATACTCTATTATACACTTTTAACAAATTAATATCTTTTGGAAACCCTGTAGTATAAACCTTAAACTTACAAGTTCTGAATGTACTCTGATTTCATTCGAATCCTTACACTATATTTCCTGGCCAGTTGACCTTGAAAACACTACTGAATCATTCTACATCTCTATTTCTTCACCCATAAAACGGGGACACTGATACCTTACAGAACTTACCTATTGATGAGTAATCAATAGGTAGTATATAGAAAATATGGGCCTCAGCTTCAGGAACTAAAAAACATGTTTAATTATAATTATCATCAGTACATAACTCCAATTTTTAGTAGTTATATAACCTTCAATTAAATAAATGTACTTTAAAAATTGATCCTGAATTTACTGGTAACCATTTAAATTGTTTCCTGTTTTTATTATTTTTAGTTTTGTTTTTGCTGTTTTGCTATTATAAACAATGCTGCCATACACATTCACACCTGGTTCACTGATATTTAAGAAATTCTTACAAGAAATATTTGGCGAGAATTCCCAAAAGTTAACTCCCTGGAGTTGAACTGTGCACTTTAACTCATAATGTCTGTAGTGCACAGATATATGGGCTGGCCCTGGGGCTGCCCCCCAAGTGGGGCCTCAGTTTACATTTCCCAGAATGTAAGATTGCATTTGTCCTCATGCTCACCAACAATCGTGCTACCAAGATCTTAAAAATATTTGTCACCCTAAAAGGTAAAAAAGCAATCTGTCGATTTTGTCTCTACGATTTTGAACATCGTATTTAGTCTGTTTTGCTCTACAGACATTTTTAGTATTTTTATAAAATCACTGCTTTTCTATTTCCTTTAATATCTTGCTTAGAAAAACCTTCCAGATTCCCCAAGAAAATTTTTTATGCTTTCCTCAGGATTAATTTTGTTAAGTTACACTTTTCTAGAAAGTGTAACATTGGCTTTGTTTTCAAATTCGCTTTAACAGAGTTTTGCACATTACCCTATTAGGATTCTAATTTTTGTTGCTTTATCTGAGACCCCTCACCAACGTGAATATTTAATATTTAAGTGTGCAGGTGTTCTTTCTCGCACCGTCATTACTTTTGGTGTAAATTAACTGACTTTGGTATGTTGTGCACCCTCTGTCCCTTTCTCATTCCCGGAGTCCAGTCCTGGAGCAGCTCCACGCCGGCCTTTCTGCAGGGATGCAGAGCCAGAGAGCTCAGGCTGTGTGTGAGGCCTTTCCCATTGCTAACTCTCAGCCAGGGTCTCTGAACCTTTCCAGTGTTCGCTCTCACTGGAGGGAAGAGCATGCTTCCGAGAGAATAATAACAAATGCGGTGCTTGGAGAATCGGCCCTGGCTTCAAACAGAAAGTCTAATTGTGTTTTCTGTCTTTCCTTTTATTTTTTCCAGTCAGGCATGATACTAACAGAAGAGGCAGATTACTTCCTAAAGCCACTTCCTTCACACCTCTTGTGGAAACTCAGCAGCGCTGCCCAGGGCAGCTCCCCATCCCACATACTGTATAAGAGATCCACAGAGCCCCATGCACCTGGGGCCAGTGAGGTCCTGGTGACCTCCAGGACGTGGGAGCTGGCGCATCAACCCCTGCACAGCAGTGACCTTCACCTGGGACTGCCACAAAAACAGCATTTCTGTGGAAGACGCAAGAAATGTATGTAAGGGCGAATATTTGCGTGTATTTAGTGATTCTGACATTTATGTAAGCTGATGGAACCTTGTACATTTTCTTCAAAGCATGTCTGCCACGAGGTGAAATCTATTGATCTGTCGTTGCTAAACCGAAGCAATGATTCCAGAGAGAGTCCCTTATTTGTAAGTTCAGCACGGGATGTCTCTCCATAGCAGATGGATGGATAATGGTAAATGATGTTTTTTAAGAACTCTTTCCTGGGCAGATTAAATGACACAGTGTGCAGAAGTAAAGAATCTACCAGACATCTTCAAAAGAACCCTGGCATCACTACTCAGTCCTTCTATATTTTTGAGGTTTCGATTTATTCAAGTCCACATAGTTTTCCTGCTGAGGTAATTCATTTATATGCATACTTATATACATTACCACATCAAAAGGGCAGACTCAGTGTGACATAATATACGTACAATTTATCACCGAGGCTTTATCAAAGTCTTTTTTGTCATGACCATTTAGGAAATGACTTGTTATTTACATTTTATGTAGAAACCTCTCAGAAATTCAGGAATCGAAGTGGGGTACTTTGTGGGATGTGCCTTACTTCTTTGAGCTCTTTCCTCAAACATCACTGGGTGAACCTTCCCCAGGAGCCTCTGGACAGCCCCTGCTCCCCCCAGCCCATCGTTTCCTGCTTGGTTGGTTTCTATGACTGCTCTACCCAGCACCCTGAATAGAGGCAGACCTGTTGCAAGTACTTAGTGAATCTCATTGAATGAGTGAATAAACACAAATCTCTTGGCACCTACAACAACAGAATTAGTGCCTGTTAAACCATCAGTGCCTTTGCGTCCTCCAAATCCATTTCATCCTACCCCCAAAAGTCATATGCTGCATTCAGATGACTTGAAAACGTCACACCCAGATGAGCTTAGTGGGCTCAGGTGTAGGGGAGGTAGCAGGAAGAACCATGCTGAGAACGAAGGGAGGTGAGCAGGAGGCTGAGAGAGTTGGGAATCCTGAGGTTGGGTGAGTGTTTGAAAAGGGTGTGCATATCAGCGACAGCTGCCCGAGGCTGTCTTGACTGGCGGGTCAGGACCGAGATGCATGCTGGAGGCATCCACAAGGTCAGAGCCAGGACTCTGCTGCCAGGGCTCATGGTGTGGGTGTGGTCAGAGCAGGACAAATTCCATATACCAAGGAGATAAAGTGGCCCACACACCTGGATCTCAGCAGGAGAGACAGCAGGGCCGTCTTAACCGCTTTGACAGACCACACACCAGGCTCTTAAGCAGATGCTGCAGTAGACCTTGAAAACATCAAGCAACGCAGACCATTGTGAGAGGACTGTGATCCTTTCATTCCTCTCTGAAGGTGGTCACCATCACTCAGGCTGGTGGCACAGCTCAGGCACAGCTGTGTGTGCAAGGCGGTAGAGATGACCCTCAGAGCGGTGTCCACATCTGGGCATGTGTGCATAGGCGTGTGTGTGTGTGTGTGTGTGTGTGTGTAGTGTATGTTGCCTTGAGAGACATTTCAGAATCGTAATAGTGGTGGTAAGTGAAAGGCAGTTATTTGAAAAGGGATACTAAACTCTATAATACAGTTTGTATTTGAAAAGTTTAAAAAAGTTCCCATGGTCTTCATAATAAAACTAGAGAAAGAAAGCTCAACAAAATGCCTCTTGTAGGTGGAGAACATTGGTGATTGATATCCTGCTGTTTAGTTTGCCACATATTTCTGTCCCCTCTGGGCTATGCTGGTGACGGTACTGCACTCCTGGGCCTCGAGTGGCCAGGGGCTATGTGACTAGCCCAGTCCCCGGAAAAGTGAGCAGAATCAACAAAATTGACAGCAGTTCTTCCCAGGTCCCTGTGTCACCTGTTCGTGGACGCACCCAGGTCAGGTCCTCGTGTCAACTGTGCGTGAATGCACTGTACCCCTAGGGCCCCATGTCACCTATGCACAGATGCACCCCCCAGGACACTGTGTCACCTACGCATGATGCACCTCAAGGCCTTGTGTCACCTGTGCACGGACACATCGTCAGGGCCCTGTGCCATCTGTGCATTGATATTTCCATGTTGTCCCTGAGGCTTTTGGACTTTCCCTTGAACTCAGGGCAGTCCTGCTCTTCTGTCTTGGTGGAATTCACACTTACAATGGTTCTTTCCTATTAGAGTCTCCTGTTCCGAAAATGGGAGCCTTTTCTGTGTTCACTCAGGCATTTTTCGGTGGAAAAGGGCAAACAGAGGCAGGTTGATTTGCTGCAAACCAATAGTGAGGTTGGACCTCAGGCTGATTAGTGGACCGGCTGCCCTTCAGGTGATGGTGGGTGTGCAGCTGAGGCCTGTGTGTTCTGGGGACAATGTTGCAAGCTCCATAGTGAGGGGCAGTCATTTGCTGAGGGGTTTTCAGAGCCAAGGCCCGTGAGATCACCACCCCACGGAGTTTCTGACCCCTTCCCCCAATACTGAGGACCTGCAGCTGCTGGGTCCTGTGCTAACATGTTGTTTTCATCCTAAAGACATTTTTCCACCAGTGGTAATTAAGAATAAGAGCTCTAGGGCCACACTGTCCAAATCTGATAGCCATTTCCAACACTTTCGAAGGAAGGGGTGTGAGCAAGTCATGTTCCTCTCCTCTGCCTTCATGACCTCATCCTTAGAACCCCGTGCTCAGGCTGGGGTACAGACTGCACGAGTTACACAGAGACATCGCCTAGGGTGGGGCTCACACCTATGGGCACTGCATAAACATTAATGACAAATGATGAGTGCTCAGTAAACATTAGCTGGTATCATTATTATACTCCAAAAGCTTTATTTAGTTTTGGAAGTATGTTAACAAAGGAAAATAAAATGTGTTGGATGTGCTAGTCAAACAAAATAGCATCTGCTTACAGTATGCTCCTTGAATACAGTCTGCATAGATTTTGTGTGCACGCCACCTAAATATCTGGGTGTTTTGAAGTCCACTTTCACATGAAACAATTTTAACCACATTTTCTGAGGCATCCACTAAACCTAATTGTTTTCAATGTAGTGTTAACCTAACGATTATACATGCCAAAAATATTTTTAAAGGGATTACTTCAAGAGAAAAGTGTATGCTTTGTCTTCTAATCAAATTACATAAATATTTATGGTACTTTCTAGGAAATTAAGCTCTTCAGTGAAGTGGAGCTGCCTCAAGCATTTTATAATCTACTGGAAACAGTGTAGACAAGCTAGTTATGTGTCCAGACATTGAAATCAACTTTAAACATTGTCAAGTCATTAAAAGTCTTCAAGTAGGAAAACAGCGCAAGCCAGCCAGCTCGTGTTCTTGTAATTGTTTGTTCCATTGCTTTGTCTTTGCAGAGGAATCTGTTCTACAAATCCCTATGCTCAAAGTTTTTGAACCCTTTTGCTACCAGATGCTAGGAGTCAGTGTCAAAGAGTGCCCTTTCTTGCTGTTTTAAATTAGGATGAAATTACATAAAGGGAAATACAGCCACGATTTCCATGACGCCTAGACTACATGAATTTTACTTAAATTTAGGGTGCTACTTTAATACAAGCTTCTGCATCACAAGGTTTTAAAGGTTATGTGGTTTTTATCATAAGCATTCATTTTTGAGACCAAATTTCTCTATGATGAGTTATGGCTCTGATTTTGTGTGTGACTTGTGCTTTCATTTGCCCTCCATACGTCCCTCCATAGACATGCCCCAGCCTCCCAAGGAAGACCTCTTCATCTTGCCAGATGAGTATAAGTCTTGCTTACGGCATAAGCGCTCTCTTCTGAGGTCCCATAGAAATGAAGAACTGAACGTGGAGACCTTGGTGGTAGTTGACAAAAAGATGATGCAAAACCATGGCCATGAAAATATCACGACCTACGTGCTCACGATACTTAACATGGTAGGATCGTCCTTCCAGTTGAGGCCATCTGTGTCATTGCACTTCATAGGGTGTGTGTGTGTGTGTGTGTGTGTGTGTGTGTATTGATGTTTCATATAAGAAACATGTGGATTTACTTGTTACTTGTGGATTGATGTTTCATATATGAGAAATATTTTACTGGTGATAACTCATTTAGTTTTCCATGCTCCAATGAAAAGAGCCATTTTCAGAACTTCATAGACTAATTCAGTAGGAAAAAATCATTTGACCCTCTCTATAAGCCTCTGTAAGCCTATGAGATGTTTTGGGCTTACTAGTGTCTATTTACTGGAAATCTCTAAGGGGATACTGAGCCACTGTAGTGCAGTAAATCTGATTATCAGCATTAGATGTGTGATTTTAATGGCTCTATAGAAATGCCCAACTTTTTAGAAATATTAATGTTCAAATGCTAAATATAAATTATTTTATCTATAAAAACGGGGAAAGTGCAACCTTTTAGAATATCATCTCAGGTTAAATGTGTTTGTGTCTCCAATTGTCAGCTGTATTAATCACTGAAGAGTGATGAGAGGTACACTAAGCCTCATTTCATGTACATGAAATCTAAGTAACAGAAGACAAAATCTTGGGTCACCAAAGTGTGTTTTTAAGAATAGTTTTAATGACAATATTTTAAAAGTATGTCTTTACATTCTTCTGCCTCAATAAACAGAGTACCCCTGAATGTGCCCATTTTTCCATGATGTCATGTGATTACTATGGCTAGTGTCATTTTTGGTAGACTGAACCACTCGGTTTCTGATCTCCCAGGAAGCCGAGGAGGCAGTGAAATAGAGCCACCTTCCCACCACACGGGGTCGAAGCATTGCCCTGTTGTCCTCAGCAAACTGCTCTGATGTGTGGAAGTGTTTGCCACTCTTCCGTAGAGCTTTTCCAATATTTCCACAGCTCAGTGCCAAATCACTTCAGGTTGCATTCCATGGTAGTCGTGCTGTTCCTGCTCACCACCCCAAATGCCACTCTGGTCATTCATTTCCACTTCCATGATCTATCACCTCTAATGTTTGTGTCTTTCTCTCATCATCTCATTACCACGATTTTTTCCTTCTCTTTCTTGTATCCTCTTGGAATCCCGTAAGTGCACGAGTTTCTCTTGCACTTGTGGAATTCCTTGCCAAAAGAGCTTGAGAAGTGATTGGTTTCTGTAGTCATCATGATTAGCTTAAAAATCCTCTTTATATTCTAAGAGGAACACTTACCAACCCACAGTCTTGTGATCATTTCATAGGTGTTTAACAGTAAGAGGTGGACCCCACTTCCACCTGAAGCTTCGGCTTTTTACAGGGATATGATTAATATATCTGTCTGCTTAAAATACAAGAAAATTAACATTGCTCTGTCATTGAAGAACAAGAGCTTTGGATTCTAGGCCCACTAGTAAGTAGGGGGGGAAATGCCATTTATGGGGCTAACCTGGATTTCCTGTCTTTTTCAGGTATCTGCTTTATTCAAAGATGGAACAATAGGAGGAAACATCAACATTGCAATTGTAGGTCTGATTCTTCTAGAGGATGAACAGGTAGTTTATCTTTGAAACTATCTACTCTTTCTACTTCCAGAAAAGTAAATGCAAAATAATGCGTTTTTCTTTAATATAATTGTTCTATGGGTTCTTCTCTCTCGAGGGCAGCAAGTATTTAATATTTTGTGTTTTACTGCAAATGAATGTCTTTTCGATTCTTTTAAACTTTTTTTGGAGTTTTTGTGGGGTTTTTTTGTGCAGAAGTGGTAAGAAATTATCCTTTAATTGGCCTGTAAGAAAATGGCATGTAAAAGCTGCCTTCAGCATATAGGTGGGACACACACTACGAATACATAGCACACAAGATATCTTAGCCATCATGAGCTTTCAGCATGCCAGTGGGAATGAGCCCTTTCTGCTTCGTGCTAGAAGAGCATAAATGTTTTGTGGTCTTGAAGTTACATTGTACTCTGTGGCCCTGTGTTGCTTTATTCGATTATCTCCCAGCTCTTAACCCTCACCATTTGTCACCATTTGCAGTCTGAGATTTTTATTTTTATTAAGATTTCTATGGACTCTCAAGTGCGTTTCCCTCACTGCATGCAAAAACCCAGATTACACTGGATCTTGGTAGCAGTGGGTTAAAGATCCTTTGCCTTCATTTGTTACCCCTGTAAATGCATATAGGTGGTCCCTTCACAGTGAAGATGGACATGAACACCTCGCGGCATAAGTAATGGGGAGGCATTTTAGGCACAAAAGGCTCTCACTTCCATTTTTCCCCAAGCTAATCATTGACTGGGTGAAGGAGAGTGGGTGCTGGACAGGAGCCAAGTGCCCAGCCTCAGCTCCACCCTTGCTGACATTTTCAGAGTCTCCTTTTAGCCACAGTTTTCTTATTTATAAAACAAAGAATTTTTTAGATGAAACCCGAGATCATTCATAAGATCTAAGACACCTTCGATGTTAAAGTCCTGGGATGCTGCTCTTTTTCTGTGCAGGGTGGGGGCATGTGTGGACGGGCTATTTCTAGTCTGACTAGTCAGGGAAGATACGACCTCATTGTCTTTTGTGTGAGTGCGCAGTTGGGGAGGGGGCTGCTGAACATGCCGGGCTTCTCAGGTGACAGGTTAATTATTCCTTGTATTAAAACATTTTCGCCTTGGAATTCATCCAAGCTGCAAAGAATAAGCGAGGTTATCGTTTGATCGTACACCTGTGTTAACTTTAATTAATGCAGTTTTCCTGAAAATCACCTGCTGAAGAACGCAAGGCATGCCCCCGTGTTTATGTGTAGCATTTAACTTGGGTATATTTGACTTTCTGGAAAAACAAAATAAACATTTCAGCAGAAAACGTATTCAGTGACTGAGAGACAAAAATTTCAATACGACATTCTAACAGTGAAAGCTTTAAACAAGCCAGTGTCCTGAAGTTGAGGTAATTAAACCTGGTGTTGTCCGACCAGCCATAGGAAACTAGAGCATGTCAGTGAATAAGATTCAAAAAACTTGGTGCAGCCTGGTCTGATGCATGTTCTTCTGTGTCTCAAATTCTTCCATTCCCAAGAATTCCAATGTTCTACACCCTGTTACTTCATTGTTGTGTTATCCGAACTTGATAGAGACAGAGGAGGTTGAACACGGCTTGCAAAGTCTCCTTTTAGTTGCAGTTTATTTTCCAGAAACAAAGCTTTACCAACTGACCTACCTCCTCTCAGAAATATACTGCCTTTGAAGAAAAGATATTTCATTGAACACTGTAATAATAAATATTAAAAGACTTATTTATTGGAAATCCCACTTGCTTAATTTGGTTATGAGATAAACATATTGCTGTCTAGACGTGTTTTTGTATATGTATGTGCAAAGCCAGGTATAAATGATTCTGTGGCTTTACTTAATTTTGAAAAGTGTTTTTTAAAGATTTTTGAATACAAAAAGTTCATGCGCAGAAGTAATCTTTCTTGGGTCATTGAACATGCATTCAAGATCAGCCAGATACATTTCAATTGTTTATGTATGGAACTAGAGAAACGTCCATAACTGTGTACACTGGATCTGTACAGGTTTTATACAATACATAAAATACAGGCATTAACTTATATGCCATCCAGATCCAGCCATGTATTTGAAATCCAGGTCAATGATAGTTTGCTGTGACGCCAATGCATTATAATATGTTTTCTCTCCATTATCATGGGGTCCTTGGTCCTTGTCTCTTGCACAGCCAGGGCTGGTGATAAGTCATCATGCAGACCACACCTTAAGTAGCTTCTGCCAGTGGCAGTCTGGATTGATGGGGAAAGATGGGACTCGTCATGACCACGCCATCTTACTGACTGGCCTGGATATATGTTCCTGGAAGAATGAACCCTGTGACACTTTGGGTGAGAACCTCCAGCAGAGTGTGAGGACCGTGTGTGGAATGTGCACCCCTGGCCGTGGCACCGTGTTGAGTATTTTTGCCCTTGTTCCTTGTTAATAAGCAGTAGCAGCTTCTTAGTGAAGGTGTAAAGACTCAGTTCCCTGTACAAACTTTAGCCAAATATAGAAGTATGTTTGCATTCATCAAGAGTGATTATTGAACAAGTGAATGTCTCTCACAGATTTCAGAGTTCCTATCTCTTCTAACATAATAAATATATATATTTTTCTGTTTCTTCTACTATTTGTGAGAATAGGGTGGGTAAATCGAAGGCTTTCTCATTATCTGGTGGAAATAGTACATTGATGTGTATTTGTGGAGTTACTATGACCATATTATATTTCCTGTTTTTTTCACTTCTCTGTCTGTGTCTCAATCTTAGCAGTGTTTCAGACATTTACAGGGCTGGGTGTGACTTAGAGGCAGCACTTTGGGATTTTTCCAGACGGTCTGTGTGAAACACTGTGCTACTGGCCAGGACTCTGCTGAACATTTCTTCTAACTCTCCATTTCTTCCCAAGTTCTTAGGGAGGAAGGGGTTTTATTTATAAAAACTTTCAGATAAAACCCAGTTTAACAGCAGTTAGTCTTATTGTGCAAAAACAAGTTAACGTGGTGTCCTGGCTGCTTGTCCTTAGACAGGTCTGCTTACCCCATTGGCTCTTAACTGGCCTCCGAGAACTCAGGTTGTAGGATGGCTCCCACTGCCCTACCTCCAACCAGTGGCTCATTGTGCCTACGTTGTGTGTACAGTGTGGTTTCCTTCTGAGGGTCTAGAATTCTGGCACACTTTAGGCAGTGGGTGCCTATGTGACCAGCTCCCAGAGAAAACCCTAGACCCTGAGTTTCTAATGAGTGACCCTGGTGGACAACATTCACCATCGCTGTCACTACTCGTTGCTGAGGAAGAGAGCACATCCTGTGTGACTCTGCGGGGAAAGGACCCCTAGACGTGTGTGCTTGTTTTCCCCCTGACTTCTGCCCATGTGTTTTCCCTTGGCTGATTTTTTCCTGTATCCTTTTGCAACATTAAATAATAACTGTGAGTGGGACAAATGCTCATTATGACAGATGTGAATCATTAAAGCCAGGGGTGGTCTTGGGGACCTCCCAGCACACCCGTTCTCTACAGCACTTTTTCACTTGGTCTTTTGGGAACATAGATGTTTAGAATAAGGCAAAGACTTTCCTCCATCTGCAATAGATTCCCCTCTCTGTTTTGCCCCAGTTAGAGCCTGCACCAGGAACATTACATAGAACTATGAATTGTGTTCCACAATACAGAGAGTCCTTGGGCTCCCTGGAATGGAATCCCTTCCCCTACGTTATCAAATGCCCTTTATATGGTTATCTAAGTGCTTCCCATTGCATATTTCCCCATATGAACACAAGAACTAAATTTCACTAAGGGGAAGAAAATAAATATACCATGCTTTGTTTTATTACAACACTGCTTTGTATTCTTTTGATCTTTGTCCTTCATAGGATTTGCACCCATAAGTGGAATGTGTAGTAAATATCGCAGCTGCACGATTAATGAAGATACAGGTCTTGGACTGGCCTTCACCATTGCCCATGAGTCTGGACACAAGTAAGTGCATCTCCATGGGAGGATGACATCCCAAGTGTTTTCCTTACTGGATGATTTCCATAGAAATATTGACTCATCATGTCAAGTCCGGGAAGGGAATTCACATATATCCAATGAGAATGCCATTGACAGTTATAAAATGCTGTCACTTAGGATTTCTGTTTCTATGTGCCACATCATGCAAATTTTATTTTTATTTACTTATTTTGAGACAGGTTCACTCTGTCAATCAGCCTGGAGTATAGTGGCATGACCTCAGCTCATTGCAATATCTGCTTCCTGGGCTCAAGCAATCCTCCCACCTCAACCTCCCAAGTAGATGGAACTACAGGCATGCACCACCATGCTTGGCTAATTTTTGTAATTTCTGGAGAGATGGGGTTTCACCGTGTTGCTTAGGCTATGCACATTTTAAAGCCACAGCAATGTACAAGTCTCCATGTCCCTGGGTCTTTCTCTGACACTCCTGTGTACACCTGTGCCTAAGATTGAGGATAGCTGTATCTGCCCCTATTCCTCTGTCCTGTGTTTTGAACTTGGTCTGGTGGGCTGATCTCATTCCGTGGTTAGCTGCTAACAGGGGACTCTAAATGATGAAGAACAGTGTCAACCCTCCCATTGCTTCCTGCTGTTACCCTCGTGTTTGTGTTCTTGTATGTATGTGTGTGTGTGTGTGTGTGTATGTATATAGATTTACAATTTATAGAGACGCTATTTTTCATTGGTACTCCAAGCAGAGTTTGGAAGCATGGGTACTGACAAGAGATCGGGCAGGCCTCTAGGAACTGATTTGCCTCTGTTACTCCACCTCTGACTGCACCGTTAATGGTTCTGAAATAAAAGTCTCAGGGAGTCCCACGAGCCTGGGGGCTCAACACAGAGGCCAGTCCTGGGTTGGTGGCCTCAGCAATGGGCGGTGGGTCATTAGTGTTTTCACCTTACATGAAATGCTTAAATTGTAGAGTGAACAATTTCTAGCAATTATTTGTGGAAACTATTATTCTTAATACAATTTCTGGGGCTAAAAATTCTGTGAGCTGCTTTACCTTGAAGTGCCGTCTATTAAATAAAAAATTCAAGGGCCCACTTGCTGCCCAAGCAGCTGGAGACTTCCTGCAATCACCCTGATTAATACCAGAACCACCAGCTGGAATGCAAATATTTTCCTGCTACGCTGAAACAATCCTTGAAATTTCTCCTAGAAAAATTTACAACCAGGAATTATAAGTTTTTATTTTTTTAAAATTTCAACCTGATTTTATTGGCAAAAGGAAAAGCAAGGCAAGTGTTTGTGATTTGTGGTTTTGCAAAGCTAACTTATCCATTATTGGAAAATGGACTGAGGAGGCGTCAGACTTGTTCAAAGCAGTGTGTGTGTGTGTGTGTGTGTGTGTACGTGTATGTGTGCGTGTGTATACACATGCGCTTGTGTTTAATGCGAAGGTTCTGCACGCTTTGGCTGTGTGCAAACTGATGACCTGAAAAATGAAGCTTCATATCTTATTACTGATCCCTTCATCATTGCAGGTAATGATTGACTATTTCATTGCTTAGAAAATTACACCTTCACTTTATAAAGCTTTCAGCTGAATCATAGTTGTATTTTTAATAGTCTGCTAGAGTTAAAACTTCAAAAACCCTCATTATTGTAACAACATGAAGCTCTTGCTGTCCTCTGAACCATACCTGAATTTAATTAAACAATCAAGGCAAGAAATATTTAAGTCACTGAGGGCTGAGCCAGTGAACGTTCGATAAGCAGTTGAGATATGGGCATTGGCAGTGCCAGCTGTTGCAGGTGGTGAACTTAGCTAAGTTAAACTCGAGGCATCCAACACAAGGCCCTCAGCTGGTCTTCAGTGCCAAACAAGTATCAATGTTGGCATTTATTTTTCTTAGAAGTCAGTTATTACTATTTCCTTTCCTCACTCAAATTGAATGTAGTTGGAAAAAGATTTTCTCCAAACAAGAAAAAAAATGTTTTTTCCTGGAAGGTCAGAATCTAGATGTGAATAAAGAAAGAAGCTCAGTTGGGCACAGTGGCTCACGCCTATAAACCCAGCACTTTGGAAGGCCAAGGTGGGAGAATCACTTGAGCCCAGGAGTTCAAGACCAGTCTGGGCAACATAGTAAGACCCCATTTCTACAATAAATTTTAAAAATTAGCCAGGCATGGTAGTGTGCATCTGTGTAGTCCCAGCTACTTGGGAGGCTGAGGTGGAAGAATCTCCTGAGCCCAGGAAGTTGAGGCTGCAGTCAGTTGAGATTGCACCACTCTACTCCAGCCCGGGTGACAGAATGAGACCCTTTATAAAAAAAATAAAAATAAGCCCTACATGTGGATGAAGGAGAGTCCCGTTGCTAATATAGGATTAACTGCCAGAAAGTATCAGATCTTTCTTGAACACCTGACTTCTTCAAGTTCTCTAAAACAGAGAACCTGGAGCTTGTCAGCGAAAACCCTTCTGCCCATGTGAAGAAAATATGAAATATATTGTATTTATCATGTGCTAAATGCCAAAATGATTTGTAATAATAGTAACAGTAGTAATGGTAATGATAATAGTAATATCTGCTCTTTGTGGAGCACTTTTTGTAAAATTCGCCGAGCAATTTCACGTACAGCTCAAACCATGGAGACCACTGGGGACAGTCCCTCTGTTGCCCTCTCTAACTTAGGGGAGACTGTGTGGAATATTCAGCAAATGTGTATGAATGGAGTCGGGGAATGAGTGGTGCAGGGCATGAGCAAGCAACACGTGAGGAGTAAACATTTCAAATGAGTTGTTAGCTGTGACCACCACTTCAAATGAGAAAGCTTGTGATGTGTAAGACTCAATGATAAAACTCCATGTATCTTAGTTGAACTGAACTGAAGATAAACACATTTGTTCAGTTCATTTATTTAGTGAGTTTAATTTTTGGAAGAGGGAATGGTAAGTTTGATGCATGGAACAAACATCAGAGCATCAGCAGTCTGCTTTTATCAATAAGCTCCAAGCAGAGTCAAATTTTTGACTTCTGTAATTCAAGAATTAAAAAGCAATTCTGTATTTATTATGACTTTTACTGTAAAAAAACACATGTAAAACATCCTGCTTCAAAGGTAAATTTTACTTTTTCAGTGCTGTTGACATTCAGAGGACATTATTTGGGATGGAGGAGTACTTCTGTATGCCTGCAAGCCATAGGTTTCTAATCTTTAACTCAAATAAATATTTTAGTTAGTGTCCATCCAATCTGTCCTCCTAAATTCCATTTGTTTTTAAATCTCAAAATGTCATGTAGTTTATTCTGGGGAATGTGACCTAAAAATAGAAATTACTAAGAACAGGTGTTTGGATTTGTGTTGGAAAGAGAGGAGCAGAGACTGGAACCAGAACTGAGATATGTATTCTCTTGTAGTACAACGGATTGAATTGGGATTTGTATTAAGCTGGTGGTAAAAGGAGAGTTTCCTGGTTATGTTAAATCACTTGACACAGGACATGTGGTTTGCTAATGCAGGTGCTGAAGCACTGGCACAGATACACCAAGGGCTGAACTGCGCCTCTGGGAGAATATGTCATCTGTGCATGAATCCATCTGAAAAATTCCCATTTGCTAAGGGAAGTCATGTCATTTGATGGGTGGGGCTCTGGGATTCAGATTCTGGATCAGCACAGTGCTACCACAGTCTGGTAGTGACCAGGGAATGTCCCCTTAACAGCTCTCACCTACGTTTCCCATCTGCAAAATCAATAGAGCACTATTTGCTCCGTAGTTCATATATGCAAGTGTAATTTAGGTTGCATTGTTTGAGCTGTACATTCCACTTATATAAAATAGGCTTAAATAGCTAAGTTGCATTATCATTTGAGACCATTAAGGCGCTATTAAAACAAATGTGTTAACTGTGTTCAAAAGTATTCATTATTCATCAGTCTGTCTCTTGCATTTTCCCTAGTTTATGGGCACAGTTTGCATTCTGAGAGCAAGGCATTGTGTAGGAGTCTATAAAAAGACTTGTGATCTACACCCTTTGAAAGTTTAAGAGAAAAGATTAAATAGATATGCCACGCAAGACATCAAGTAATGAGAGCTGTTGGTATTACAAGAGACCACACAGGGACGATCAGGGAGGCCTTCTTAAAAGAAGCAGCATTGGGCTGGGCATGGTGGCTCACTCCTGTGAATCCCAGCACTTTGGGAGGCCAAGGTAGGTGGATCATGATGTCAGGAGTTCAAGACCAGCCTGGCCAAGATGGTGAAACCCCATCTCTACTAAAAAATACAAAATTAGCCAGGTGTGGTGGCAGGTGCCTGTAATCCCAGCTACTTGGGAGACTGAGGCAGAGAATTGCTTGAACTCGGGAGGTGGAAGTTGCAGTGAGCCGAGATCATGCCACCACACTCTAGCCTGGGTGACAGAGACAGACCCCATCTCAAAAACAAAACAAAAAAAGCAGCATTGGTGTCACTATTGCTGTCACTACTAGTTAACCTGAAAATACCATTCAGCTCACCCACAGTCACTAGCGATGCCCTTTTCAGTATTTGATGATGACAAGTGCCTCCACCCCATTTGTGGCTGTGCTCTGTCATCAGTCTGGGGCATCTTCCAGTGCACCTGGGAGGCACATGGTGATTTTTAAAGACTTGAAGAATATTGGAGAAAGCCAGCCCCTCTAACCGTCATCTGGACTGAGGATTGTTAGGCTGCTCTCTGGGGAGCTGTGGTAGGTCAGAGCATCAGTTCTTACCATTTACATTGGTTGTCTTTCCTCTTAGGATTTCTTTTCTGTTTCTGTGTCCAACAAGTATTTGGAATCTGTTGACATTTGGCCAGACCTTCCCATACACATGCGTGCACACACGCATACCCACCATGAATGGCACTTAGGTGTTATGTGACTTGACCAAGACCCCATTTGGATCATAGAAGGGAATAGAAGTTTTGAATTTTCCTTGTGATGTGCAGAGTCCCAGGCATTCTGTACAGTTCATTAGGAAGGCTTTACTATCCCATTTTATATATGACGAAACTGAGGCTTGGAAGAGGTCAAGTAATTTGCCCAATATCAAGCAGCTTGTGAATGACAGAGCCAAGACCCTGACTGAGGTCCTTCCACCTCCACAGTCCATGCTTTTTCCCATTATCTTCCCTGACCATGTCCCTCAGTTCCCCATGACTGCTGTCTTCAGCTCAGCCTTCTGCCTGTCATGGAGGATGAGCTGTGCTCCTCCACACGCCTGCATGAAGCCTACATCAGGGCTCGGGGCAGTTCAGTCCTACCTGTGGTTGCCATCATTATGCCAAGGGTAGACTTTGACATCCAGATAACATTGGCCCGTAGTTCCTTTAAAGAATGTCTAATGTCCTTAACCACTACTGCCTGAACAGCCCGAAATAAGTGATACAGCTTCTATGAACACTTGGTTGGCTGTTCAGCATTCTCAGTATGTCATTAATAATAAACAAATACTTCCCAAGAGTAATTGAATCACTCAAAAATATTGTAGAAGACAATAAAAGCATGACATTGAAATATAATTCCCAAATTCAATTTAATCTGAAATTAGGTTTATGTCTGGGTATGTTATGGCTGGAAATGTTGTCGTTTCTTCACTCAACAAACATGAATAGAGACCTGTTATGTACCGTCAAGTCCGCTGGCAGTGGGTTAGTTAAGAGGTGTCTCTGTCTTTTAGAAACTTATGAACTAGTAAGGGAGAAAAAGATAAAACATATTTACGATTTTAGCAAATGGGATGATAACCATTTTAAAGTACTATGGTGCACAGGAGCAAGATACATTCTCTGGTCTGCATAATTTGAATATAGTTATATTTCTTTGTTGCCAAATAGCAACCTTATCTTCAAAATGTGTTCTATTCATTCTTCTGTGACTTTATTAATGTTGGTATTAAATGCAATCACTGTGTGCTACTTTTATGCTGATCTGCTGGCATTCATTGCATTACAAATGTGGGCATTGTACTGATTGGAGACAGAAATTGTGAAATAGTGGTGCTGAGATTTTGGTGGACATCAGAATCACCTGGGGGTGTGTTAGAATATGCCCAAAAGCCAGGTCCTAACCCTCAACCTACAAAATTAGAACTATACCACTGCAGGCTTGGGTAGCTACATTGTGCTGTGTATCTCTCAGATGTTGATGCATCAGAGTTTGAGACTTGATACTAGAAAAAAATCATTGAAAATACTTTAAATGTAAAAGTTGAAGACCAAGATTTCCCCAGACTTGGGACATTGTGGATTTTGAATTCCTTAGAAAGATGGGTAGACGCGATAGCAAATTTCTCAAGGGCAATTTCTGGACCATAATGTGTCTTCTTTATTAGCAGCTCAAGGGCCAGACAGGGGAGGGTAGTTTGGTATTTTGTGTTCCCCCTTTTCTCCCTAAGGCAGCCTGCCATTTGGGATTTCAGCCTGAATCTTTTTCACAGCCATGACACATTTCCTCTGCCATGCGGTTCCTCTGGCCTTGATTAATTGCCTTTAATAGAACTTCAGAGAATGGGTGGAGGCTAAAATGACTACATCTACATCATCCTTGGTACTGATCAGGAATTTTGCAGAAATTCAGCAGTGTTTGCACGCCAGATTTCCTTGGATACAGTCTTCAATCATGTTCAGGTTACACTATTAAATGAATCCTGGCTAGGCCCTGACACCAAAGTGTCCAGGCTTCAGCCTTGACTCTGCAACCCTGGATGAAGTCTCTCTCCAGTCCTCGGCCTTGCTGTCTTTATATTAAAGCCACCTTATAGAACTGTGTTGAGTTTTAAATTAGAATATAGGTTATAAGCCTACCATAACAGCTGTAAAATAGTGAGTCCTTATAAATGTTGATTATTTTCTAGTAATATATTACTAAATAGCTCTAAGCAATGAGTTAAATAGACAAATGTGTCTTCAGCCTAGGTAATAAGTACAGATTCTCTTGACACCATTTGGAGCTGACTTTCCCCTACATTGGTGTCTTCCTGTCCCTGCTGCCTTCTATCCACTCCTTATGGAATTCTTGGCAGCATAATGTCCCCCATAACTAGAAACCACCATGTCCTTCTTTGCTTTCCCTCTCTCTTGCCTTCCTCCTTTTCTCTGCATCTTACCAATGGGACCCTGTGCTCAGGGAATCCATACAATGGCTAGGTGCCAGACGTTAATGGCAATAGTGGCTTAGCTCTGCCAGAATGTATTTACCTTAATGGGAGGTCTTCGGAGCTATAACATCTCCCAAGGAAGTATGTTGTGTTCTTCTAGGATAATTGAAAATGGGATCATTGAAATGAGCCTTGAGTGTACTCAGGGCCCTCCTACAGCTTTCACAGGTTAAGAAGAAGAAGCAGACCTGCTGGTGAGGGAGGTAGCAGCCCTGGAAAATGTGATTCTCCCAGGTGCATGGCTCCATTTTCTCAGGTGTTATTAAGTGAGTGTTGATTGGCATCGTGGGCTCTGAACACCTCTGATGGCCCCTATTAAGGGTTCCTATAGCTTCTGTAGCTTGAGATGTACCTGTACTCTGAGCCAGGTGTGGATCTCCAAAGTGGTGTGGTTTTCACATAAAAGTAACCTGTGCTGCTTCAAACGACACCCACAGATACATTCAGCCATAGTCATCTGTTGGGTTTCCGTGGAGCTACTCTCTCCAAATAGACAGAAGGATGCAGGTCAAGCGCTGCCCATCTATCACAGCCTCCAGTAGTGCAGGCCTAATAGTTTGAGCTGGAACATCCCCAGGTGGGGCTAGAGACAGAATGTCAGCCCACGTGAGTTGCAGTAGCTGTTTGTAGTTCCCAAATTGCAGAGAGCATCAAACTCACCTGGGGAGCTTGCTTGGAAAGCTCAGACGCCTGGATCTCTCTTTTCTGAGTCAACAGTTCCTGGGTAGAAGTCTGGCATCTATATTTCCAACAAACACCCATGGAAACTCTAACGATCCTGCTGAGCAGAAAAGAGTGTGGAGACAAAGAAGCAACATAGAGCAGTGTTAGCCTAATCAAGAAGATCCCAAGTTCCTCCACCCCATTCAAAACTCAGGCATCTGGACATTTACTCTGCTTTGATATTGGTGTACACTCTCAGGCAATTTGGTGGATGGTCCGTTCTTCAGAAACTGTCTTTGAACACATGAATATTCTCAACCAATTGGCTGTTGTGGCTTTTATTTTTGCCTGCCTAGCATACAGGGGTGAGGGAGTCTCACAGTCTTGACTTGTAATTGTTAGAGGGTATTAGATAATTTAAATTGTTTTTTTTTCTGAAAGAAACATCTCTCTCTCTCTCTCATAGCTTTGGCATGATTCATGATGGAGAAGGGAACATGTGCAAAAAGTCCGAGGGCAACATCATGTCCCCTACGTTGGCAGGACGCAATGGGGTCTTCTCCTGGTCTCCCTGCAGCCGCCAGTATCTACACAAATTTCTAAGGTAGGAACTCTTTGAGCTGGTCTTATGATCTTTCAGTGCCTTTGATGCTCACTGCCTGGTCAGCCAGATCCTGTGTAAGCAGCCCCAGGCTGTGCTTCCTGATGTGGTTCCCTTCGAAGGTGTCTTGAGACATTCAGTTGATCTAAGAGTTTGCTAAAAATCTCCTTAGAGTATGGAGGCCTGCTGGCTTAATCCAACATTGATTCAAAGGGAATCAGTGGCTTGAGACTAAAAGGGAGCCGTAAGACACTCGCCAAAATATTTGTCACTAACATTTAAGTTTTACTATTCTCATTTCTGTAACTAGGAATCTTCAGGAAGTGAATAGAAAGATCATACATGTACACAGCTGTATACACAATAATAAAGCATAGCTTTTTTTTGGTTTTTCTTCCTTCTGTTTAGTTTTTTCTTTCTTCTCCTTTCTTCCTTCCATTTTTTTCTTCCTTTCTTTTTTTTCCTTTCTCTCTCTCTTTTTCTACTAAATGCATTCCTCATTAGGTGAAGAAACTTGAGTATATAAACTTTAACCTAGCTCTAATATTCTGTAATCGTCAATAATATTTTTAGAAATTTTCTCTAAACACTTATTTAGGAGATAAAACATTAGGGAGGTAGGGTTTGACCCTTGAAAAATAGTAGATTTTAAAATTTCAGAGAAATGAGGAACTTTATGAAACATTCTTAGAACTGCTAGTTTATACACTATTCCCTGAATCTCTTTGGCTTTCAGTTTGAAGTTTGGTTTAAATATTAAGCCAAAACTTTATTTCTGACATTACAGTCTAGTGTGGATTGGAATGTCTCTGCTCCACACAGTCCTTCAGAGACCCAGGTTTCTTCCATCCTGTGACCTTTCCTCTTCTAGGACCTAGTTCCCCACTGCAGCCATCTGGGGACTGAGGACAGAGAGAGCACAGGAAGGTGTGCGGGACAAGGGTGGTGGTCCTGGAGGAACTCATATGACTGCCCAAAAGTGCAGAGGGCATTGAGAAATGTCCTCTACCCATGTGCTTAGGTGACAGAGAGTCATCTGTGCCAAATGATGAACCCCAAATCCTTTTGCAGAAAAGTAACTGAAACCTGGAGGGACCAGCTAGTCAGTGGCCAAATTGTGAGTAGAACCCAGCGTTCTGGACCCTAGAGGTGAACTCTCTGTATTTATCTCAAGGACAATGGATGCAGCCAGCAGAGGAAAAGCAACTCTGTTGCAATCATAGCCTTTATTATTGTTTTTTAAAATATTTAAGTACTAACAAAATCGTTTGTTTCAGATACTAAAAAGATGAATGAGAGTGTTTAGAAAGCAGCTTTTATGTCTCGAAGATGACTGATCTGTGAGAAACAGCGGAGGCAGGGTACATGCTGGATCTGCATTCACGAGCTTTGAGTGGATGCCACATGCTGGATCCACCTAAACTCAACACTCCTCTTCTTCACTTCTGAACACAGCTTCTCAGATTGAATGGCAGTGCCGGGGAGAAATTGTGGCTTGATGTTTTTGCTCCTCATTGAAAACACACTGATTTGCACCTTTGCTGTTTAAGGAATACTGTTTCTTTGGTCCTAGCAGCAAGACCTACTCTTTATTTTATTTTATTTTATTATTATTATTATTTTTTTTTTGAGACGGAGTCTCGCTCTGTCGCCCAGGCTGGAGTGCAGTGGCCGGATCTCAGCTCACTGCAAGCTCCGCCTCCCAGGATCATGCTATTCTCCTGCCTCAGCCTCCTGAGTAGCTGGGACTACAGGCGCCCGCCACCTCGCCCAGCTAGTTTTTTGTACTTTTTAGTAGAGACGGGGTTTCACCGTGCTAGCCAGGATGATCACGGTCTCCTGACCTCGTGATCCACCCGTCTAGGCCTCCCAAAGTGCTGGGATTACAGGCTTGAGCCACCGTGCCCGGCTGAGACCTACTCTTATTCAGGGTGGAGGATATGTTTATTCATTAGCCAGAAATTTATTTTGCCAGACACATAGAAGGACTGTGTTTGCTCTTAACAAACATACTGACTCACAGTAGTTCACTGATTCTAGTAGAGGAGATACACAAAAATGTTTCCTTATTTTCAAAATACACGAATGCTTGAAAATACTGAAGGGAAATGGGCTGTCATGTTTAGTTCTCAATTAAATTCATTCACAATGTTTTTGAAAATTGTATTTTTGAGATTCATCAAAGAAAGCATTCTTTATTCTTAATTATTCTTAATTCAAGGGAGTGTTCTAGGAACACATTAACAAACACAACCACCTTAAGAATTTGGAGGAGATTGCACAAGAAATCACAAGATTACTAGTAAAGTTGAAAGATGAGGAGGAGAAGCAAATAAAAATTTAAAAATGAAGAACAGAGAGAAGGACACAAATGTATAGATTCTAAGGAACTAGCTAGTTGTGATAGGAAAGTTTGAAATTTGACCAGAAAGGAATTATATTTCTATTATTAAAAAGTAGGACAACTACTAATACTTCCAACAAAAGCAAAGGTTTTTTTAAGTAACAGCTTTAATGAGCTAAAATTAATACACAAAAAGACACGTATTTAATGTATACAGTAAGATGAGTTTAGTTGTTTGCATGACCAATGAAATAATCTCCACGGAGATTCTACCAGATTTGGCGGAAGAAAAAAATAACTTGGCAGCACCCAAGAAGTCCCCAGGCTAGGAAACCAGATTATCTGCCTTCCAAGTCTTCGTAAAGTACATGTCTTTTCAGTCAAAACTAGGAACTAGTTATTCCAAACTGAGAACTAAGAACAAAGTTCCCCTACCCTATTAGACCCCGTAGATTCTTCAGTGTTCAACTGGCCTCTCTGGTTCCTTTCACTGACCTACTTCTTTGTGTCCTACTTTTTCTTTTGTTTTCTTTCTTCCTTTTTTATTCATTTATTTAATTAATACAGCTCTTTTTTTTTTCTGTTGCACAAATTAAGTCTTCTTATTTCTAGGACACTATTTGAGTAGGATCACACCAGGACTTCTGTTGATTTTACTCCAGCTTACTTTCTGGTGGCCTGTTGCCCCAGGGCTAACCTGGGGCTGGGTTGCCCCTATGGCTGCCTCTTCCCTCATTCTCTAGGGATCCTGGCTTCCCATCTTCCCAGCCAGAATCTTGATCATCAGCCTCCAGGGGCTGTGTTCCTCTAGCTTGGTCCTTTTTGGTGTTCCTACTCCAAGGACGAAGTCAAGGTATGTTAACATATTAAGGAACAACTGTGTTTCATAGTTTATGCCACCCAGGATAAGTGGCAATAGTTTGGACAACATGTGTATCTTGGTAATATAAACCCATATTCTGGGAATATACACTTGATCATTTTTTTAAAAAAATTTATATTACCAAAAAAGACCATGTTAAAGCTATTCTACAACTGACATGATGTATAGGAGTACATTTAGCATTTGTTTTTCCCTGCATGGTATTCTCAGAGTCAAGCTGGGGATTGTTAACATTGTTTTTAGCTGTTTCTTGCAGCTGTTCACATTTTTCTCTGTGTGTGTGTAGAAATTCTACTTTGGGAAACAAGGAAGATTATTCACTTTAGGCTCACCATGCTTTTATTTGCGTTAACGAGGAAAATTTGGAGTTTTCTATATTCCAGATCCTTTCTATAATTTTCTAGATTCAGAATTTTTTAACCCTCTTTTTCATCTTAATGGTTATGAGGAAGATACAGTAACACTTTTTCTACTTTGAAATATCCTCTGACAACTTAAAAAATCAGTGGATTATAATTTGGGTGCGCAGTGAGAACCAGCATAATGAAAGTCCAAGAAAAGTTTTGAAACTGCCAAAAAAATATAGGCAGACTCATGGAAAGAAGATAATTACATGCTCGGAGAGTAATTATTTTGAGGACATTGAAAATAGATTGTCATCTTGAAGATATAATATAGTCCTAAGAGTGATTATTAAGATACTGAAATTAAAAGCCATTTTCATTCTATGATACTGGAACACCTGAACTATAAGTTGAAGTGTGCTGATGTGTTTTTGTGTGAATCCAGCAAAACGCTTCTGTAGCATTTCAATGATAAACATTTATTTTCAGGGACTTTACTAATTTTTTCTGACCACATGAGTATAAATAAATAGGTAAGGTTTTACGTGCTTACAAATTTGTTTGCTTGAATGGTGAAATTTTCCAAGAAAGTCTCTTGTTGTCAAGTTCACTATTAAGATTCATTTTACTCAAAAACCAGTTGCAAATTGGACACTTCTACAGTGTGTTAAATCTTGACTTTTTCACTGACTTAATGAATCTGAGACTGTCTTGTTTGATTGTTTGCTGACTTTCTGATTTCCAAGTAATCAAAATACTGTTATATTCTCCACCAATTAGGTAGCTCTTTGGCTATGATCCCAACAATGAGTAAGGATAAATGGCTACCTTTTAAGATGAATCTGCTCTCGTTATTAGTAGTCTAGCATTTGAAAGTGGAAAAAAAATATATAAGGGAACTCAATTGGCCTGAAGTTTTCAGCACAACTTTTCTCTATTCTTGGTAGAGTTATGAAGGCTTGATACTTTTTTGGAGTGAATTCATCAACCGAGTCAATAAAATCATTTGTCATTTTCCATTAACAGACACAGACCTCATCACATTACTCATGTCTGCATCCCGAAGGCCTGTGACTTAGGGAAATTTGAGCTCATTATTTAAAATTTCATGACAACAGGGACTCATCTTCAGTTTACTTTTTAAAAATTTAAGTCACGCTCTGCAGATCAGTGAAAATGCCAGCTCTCTGACCGTATGAATCTGAACACATCAAAGCGTGAGAATGGTGACCAACATCACAGGGAACTGGGAGTGTAAGTGGCGCCATACCCCATACTACTTCTGTTGATAGGAAATGAGATCTGACCTGAGAGCCCATTAAGTGTGTTTTTGCACACAATGGAAATAATGCATTTCAATTCACATCCTGCTCTGAGATACAAGGCTCATCTTAGGTCATGGCTAGTTGTTGTGTCTGCAGTGCTAGTGTGACTCTAAGACTGGAGGGTAGGCACTTTCCTGCAGAGGAGAGAAGGACCAAGGGAATCAGGTCATGTCTTGCTCACCCATGTCTGGGAAGGTCTTGACCTTGACGGATAATATAACCTTTTCTGAGGGCCCCAGTCTTCTTAACTGAAAAATGATGGGATATAACTAAAAGATCTCTCAAGCTCTTTAACTCCTGACATGGAACACTGTATATTGGAATCAGGAGTTATGCACCATTGTGCAGTTGTGAGATTCATCCTTGTTCCTGCATCTAAATATAGCATTAGTCTACTTAGTTTGTTGCATATAACTTACATACTAAATATATAAATATACTAAAACTTATTCATTCAATTTGTAATAGACATTTGAGTTTCCAATTTTTGGCTATTACAAGGAACAGCACTGTGAATATTCTGTTGGTTTGCATATATGTCTCTGAGTATATATAGGAATGGAGTTTTCGGAGTCATAAATATATATGCACAGGTGCAATAGACAGTACTAATCAGCTTTCCTAAGTGACTGTGTGAAGTTACACTCCCAGAAGTGTTTGTGAAATTTTCAAAATGGTTTCAAATCCTTCCCAACACTTGGTCATGTTGATATTTTTCATTTTAGATATCTGATAGTGTGAAATTTCATATCAATGTATTAATTAATAAGATTGAATACATTTTATATGTTTAATGGCTACTTGAGTAACCTTCTTAGTAAAGCGCTAAAATCTTTTGTGCATGTAAAAAAAAAGAGACCCTGTTGTTTTTCTTCTCTCTTGATGAGAGGATTGTATACATTCTGAATATAAACATTTTGTCCCATTCTGGCATATATGTATTATAAAATCTTCTCTGCCTCTGTGACTTTTTATTTACACTTTTAATGGTGGCTTTGCTAAACAGAAATTTTTATTTTTTTAATGGAGTCCAAATTATTGATAAATCTTTAGGGTTGGTGCTTTTGTACTCTGCTAGAAAAAAAACAAAAACAAACAAAAAAAACCTCTACTCGTCCCAAAGTTGCAAAGGTCTTCTTCCACATAGTCTCCTACAAGTTGTATTGTTTGCTTATCACATGTAGACCACTTAATTTTTGTATATGGCATGGAAAAAGTCAACATTCATTTTATCCATGTGGTTATTGTGGTCGATTGTTTTTAAAATGGTTGAAAAGATTTTCCTCTCTGCACCCACACTTTTGGGGTCTGGACCATTTTGCATTCTCACTGGAGGTAAATGAGAGCTCCTGTTTCTCCATGTTCTCATCAGCGTTTGACATTGTCAGTGTTTTGGATTTTCTCTATTCTAAGAGGTGTGTAGTGGTGTCTCATTGATGTTTGAGTTTGCAATTCCTTAACGACATATGATGTTGAGATCTTTTTATATGCTTATTTGCCATCTATATCTGTTCTTTGATTAGGTGTTTGTTCAGATTTTTGTCCACTTTTTGTTATTCTTATTGTTGTTTTTATTGTTTTCTTATTCTTGGATTGTAAGTGTTATTTATATGTTTTGTGTAACAGTCCTTTATTGGCTATGTCTTTTACAAATATATTCTCCCACTCTGTGTCTTGTATTCTCATTTTCTTGACATTTATTTCACAGAGCAGACATTTTTTATTTTAATGAAGTACAGCTTGTCATTATTTCTTTCATTGGTTGTGCCTTTGATGTATCAAAAAAGCCATTGTCATATCCAAGGTCACCCAGATTTTCTCCTGTTATTTTCTAGGAGTTCTATAGTTGTGCATTTTATATTTAGCTCTATGATCCATTGTGAGTTAGTTTTTGTATGGAGTATAAGGTCTGCATTTACATGCATTTTTAAAATTTATTTATTTATCTTATTTTTTTTTTGAAATGGAGTCTCACTCTGTTGCCCAGGCTGGAGTGCAGTGGTGTGATCTCGGCTCACTGTGACCTCTGCCTTCCGGATTCAAGTGATTCTCCTGCTTCAGCCTCCTGAGTAGCTGGGATTACAGATGCACACCACCATGCCTGGCTAGTATTTTTGTATTTTTAGTAGAGACGGGAATTCATCATGTTGGCCAGGCTGGCCTTGAACTCCTGACCTCAACTGATCCACCGTCCTTGGCCTCCCTAAGTGCTAAGATTACAGGTGTGAGCCACTGTGCCTGGCAGATTAATTTTTTTGCGTTTAGATGCCCAGTTGTTTCAGTATGACCAGTTTAAAAGGCTATCTTTTCTCCATTCCATTGCCTTTGCTCCTTTGTCAAAGATTAGTTGACTATGTGTATGTGGGTGTATTATTGGCCTTTCTATACTGTTCCACTGATCTATTTGTCCATTCCTTGTAACTTTATAGTAAGTCTTGAAGGTGGGTGTTGTCAGTCTTTGTTCTCTCCCTTCAGTATTGCTCTGGTTATTTTAAGTGTTTTGCCTCTCTACATAAGCTTTAGAATCAGTTTGTTTATATCCTTAAAACAACTTCCTTTAATTTTGATTGGCATTGCACCAAAGCTGTAGATTAAAATGGGGAGAACTAATCTCCTGACAAGATTGAGTCTTCCGATCTATGGACCTGAAATACCTCTCTATAGTTTTTCTTTGATTTATTTCATAAGAGTTTTGTAGATTTTTCTCATGTAGGTGTTGTACATATTTTGCTGGATTTATATCTATTTCATTTTGGGGGTGCTAATATAAATGACATGTTTTTAATTTTCAATAAATTCTGTTCGGTTGTCACGGTTGTCACTAGCATGTAGAAGAGCAATTGACTTTTGTATATTAGCCTTTTATCCTGCCACTTTGCCATAACTTATTAGTTCCAGAAATTTCTTGGTGGATTCTTTCAAATTTCTACATAGACAATCATGTCGTCTATGAACAAAGATAGTTTTATTTGTTCTTTTCCAATCTGTATACCTTTTATGTAATTTTCTTGCTTTATTACACTATATAGTACTTCCATTACAGTGTTGAAAAGGAGTGGTGAGAGGAGTCATTCTTATTTGTTCCTGATTTTAGTGGAGAAGCTTTAAGTTTCTCACCATTAATTATAATGTTAACTGTATATTTTTTGTAGATGGAAATTCTCCTCTATTCCTAGTTTGCTGGAATTTTTTTTAATCATGAATAAGTGTTAAATTTTATCAAATGGTTTATTTCTTCATCTATTGATATGATCATGTGTTTTTTCTTCTTTAGACTATTGATGTAATAGGTTACATTAATTGACTTTTGAATATTGAACAGGCCTTGCAGACCTAGGATTAATCCCACTTGGTCATAGTGTATAGTTCTTCTCATGCATTGTTGGATTCAATTTGCTAACATTTTGTTGAGAATTTTTGTATCTATGTTTATGAGAGATAAGAAAAACTTTCTTTTCTTGTGACATGTTTGTCTGGTTTTGATATTAGGATAATGCTGACCTCATCTTATAATTTAGGAAATATTCCCTTTGCTCTGATTTATTGGAAGAGATTGTAGAGAATTAGTGTAATTTCTTCCCTAATCTCTGGTGTAATTCACAGAGAACCCATCTGGGCTATTTGTTGCTTTTTATGCACAGAGTCCTGAGCTCTGAAGCAGTGGAACGTGGGACTGGGGTCCTAGAAATGAGCCAGAAATCTTCTAATCAAGGTGGACAACCATGCAGAGCCAATTTTGGAGGATGATCTGCCATTGCTCATTATATTGTGATTATAGGTTTTTGTTTTTTGGTTTTCTCGGGGAAGGGCCTATTGAAATTTATAGGCGGGATTTAGTTGCTATTTGAAAACACAAAAATATTTAAATACTCTTCACCAAATGCATAAATTATACCAAAGAACATCCTGGCAGAGAAGAGGATAATCTATTTATGGAAAAAGAAATTATTAGTTGGTCTTTAGCCATCTACCAATGAATTTTAGCAAGGTTAATTTTCTGCTTGACTTGGGGGTCATCAGAAATCATCCTGAACATAGAGCATTGCTGGTGGAAATCCAGTGTTCCATGAAGAACCTCTAGAATCTGGAAGATAATATACAGGTGTCCCTTACCCTAGAGGGAAAAAGAATAAAAAGCAAAGAAAGAAAGAAACTTCCAGGCTTTGAAAAAACTGTGCTTTATTTTTATAATGCCCAGCTTTTGCTTGATTCTGGCAAGAAGCGTGCATAAAAGGTGTCCATCATAAGAGCTTCTCACATTGAAAACTGGCTGTAATTATTCAGTTGCACTTTTCCTCATAAGTTTAAGAAATTTAATAAGTACAAATTGTCTTTCTGGAACAAGTACAATGTATAATAAATAATTTCAGAAATTAAAGTCTCTGTATTTAAATATAATTAAGATAAACATTATATTGTACCTCAGGAGACAAAAAGTTCTCCTCTTGGTATACACAATATATGCTGTAAAATTGCATGGGATAAAAGGGCATAGTTAGTTGTATGTCCTTTGGTTACTCTGTGGGCAGTTACTAGTAGCTCATCTCCTCTTTGTTCCAGCACTGCTCAAGCTATCTGCCTTGCTGATCAACCAAAGCCTGTGAAGGAATATAAGTATCCCGAGAAATTGCCAGGAGAACTGTACGATGCAAACACACAGTGCAAGTGGCAGTTCGGAGAGAAGGCCAAGCTCTGCATGCTGGACTTTAAAAAGGCAAGTGATTATTGGCATATGCTCAATGCAACATGATTCATAAGACTGTTTTACTTAGTGTAACTGATGTTGATGTATTCTGCATTTATTGGGTACCTACCAAATGTCAAATCCTGTATGTTAAGGCTGGTCCTGTATAACAGGCAACACATGTCTCACTGGCAAAGAAGATGACGGGAGATACTGTTGTGGGTATCAATTTTCATTTGAGAGCCGACTTGGCCTGTTAGGTTGGATCTTTCTTTCTGATTTATCATGTGGGAGTTCAGCAATAACGTTTAGTCAGTGTAAGTTGGCAAATTAATACTCTGCATTTTTTAAAATGGTTTTAAAAAAACAAAGTCCCCCTCCTCTCTCCCAATATAAGCATATTTTATTATAAAGCAGCAGCCTACCTAGGGCTACTGATTAATAAATTTCCCTCAAACAAGGTATTTATAGAGTTGTCTCTCATAGAAGGTAGTATCTACTCTGTCAACCCCAGGAACTTTACCAGAGTGATTTACTAACAGAAATTCCTCATGTAACACAGAGACATATGCTCTTGCTAGAAAGGGAAAATTGAGATTTAGGAACCTGCTCTGTCAAACACAGGAAAAGCTATGCATAAATTAAATAAAAGTAACTATTTTTAAGGTTTCTCTTATTCTAGTTTATAATAAAAATCAAGAAGAAATTAGAAAAAAATATAGTCCTCCAGAAACTTCCACACATTTCAAAATGCATTGGGAATACTCCCAACTTAAATCTAACGTGATAATCTTCTTTCTTCTAAAGTCAAGCAGAGCTCCCCCAGAGTTCAATTCCAGCTCTGTGCCAGAACTGGATCCTTATCTCCTCGGCTGGGGAGTCCCAGACTGGAATAAGAGCTGTAAATCTGTCAGCAGCAGCAGCAGCCATTCTCAATAGTGCCATTTCTTGTGGGCAGAAGATATGAATTCCCTAAGAAATTTTTTTTCAGTGTTACTCTTCTTTGTTAAGGAAAATGGACAAAAAATTAATGGTTTTTTTTTTTTTTTTCAAAGGTAGGATCTTCTAGATCGTGCTTCTGGTTTCCATGGTAGTTAGCTTTGTGACCACGGACTGTGTCATTCATGGTGCCCTGGTGTCATTTGGAAAACATAGGCAATGAAAAGTTAAATGCAAGGTGCATTTTTATTCTTGAGGAAATATTTACATGCAGAGAAACACACTCATTTTACATGCGCAATCTGAATGTTAACAAATGTATTCTCCCATGTTACTGGCATCTTAATCAAGACGTTTTATTTACATAAAGCCAGAACCTTCCTTGTGCCCCTCTTTCAACCCCTCTCTGACTCCAGTAAGTAACAATTATTCTCATTTCTATCATAATTGCTAAATGTTGCCTGCTCTTGAACGTTATAATTACCTTGCTCCATATATTAATATTAAAAGTAAATTGTATAATATTTTGCCATGAATAAGTATGATGTTAGCTGTTGGTTTTTATACAGATACCCCTTATCAAACTGAGGAAGTTCATTCTAATCCCAATTCGTTCAAAGATTTTATCACACAATTGTGTTGAATTTTGTCAATTTTTTTTTTCTATATCTATTGATATAGTTATATTGTTTCCTCCTTTGTTCTGTTACTGTGGTGAATTACATTGATTGATCTTTAGTTTTTTCCATGGGACTTTGAATGTTAAGTCAATCTGCATTCCTGGGATGACCTCACTTGGTCGTAATCTATTGTTCATTTTTATAATCTGCTGAATTGATTTGCTAATATTTGCTCATGATTTTTACATTTGTGTTCTTGATTGATATTATTGGGAAATTTCTGTCTCATAATTTCTTTTCAAGAATTGATTATCAGAGTTGTGCTGACCTAATAAAATCAGTTGACAGTATCCCCTCCTCTTCTGTTTTCTTGAAGTTTGAAAAAGGTTGGTGTTGTTTCTTTCTTAAATGTTGATTAGAATTCACCAGTGAGCTCTGTGTATGAAAAGGTTTTTGTAATTACTGATTCAACTACACTAACAGATAAAGCGTTATTCAGAAGACACTCCTAGCTAGACTGATCAAATTCATTGGAAAAAGTAAAGAAATCATTAAAAGTGATATTAAAGGAGATATTTTTTCAACAAATGACTATGAATTCCTTTAATTACTGTAAGATCTATAATGATATATCCTCTTTCATTCCTTATAATGATAATATGCATTTTAAAATCTTTTTTTCTTATCAGTCTAGTTAGGAGTTTATCATATTAATCCTTTCATAAACATCAATATTGGGCTTAATGTTAATTTTTAAAATTTGTTTGTTGGATTCTTTTCTATTTCACTAAGTTCTGTTTTGTCTTTATTATATTCCAAGGCTGAGTATGCCTGTCTTTTTCATGCTCTTTGAAGTAGCAGCTTGAATCATTGACTTTAAACCTTTCTTATTTTCCTAATATAACCATTTAATATATGTAAAGCTATTCATGTCTTTCTAAGCACATTAGCTGTATTCTGAAAATGTTTACATATTGGGTTTTCAATATTACTAAGCATATCTTCTAATTTAACTAGTAACTTCTTCATTAACCAACATATTATGTAGAAATATATTAAATATTATTTAATTGCCAAATAATTCTCCAGATAACTTATCAGTTTTGATTTCTAATTTCATAATTTTGTTCAGAGAATATACTCTGCGTATACTTTTGAAATGTATTGACACATATTTCATAGCTTAGCATATGATCTATGTTGGTGAACATTCTGTGGAGACTTGAATATAAATTCTGCAGTGGTTGGGTAGAATATTCAAGAAATAACTATTTTTTAAATAATATTTCTTACATCTTGTGCATCATCCATCATATTTCCTACTTGTTCCACCAATTTCACAAAGATGAGTGTTAAAATCTCCAGCAATGATTACGTATATTTCTATTTCTCATGTTAGTGCTATTAGTTTCTGTTTTATATATTCTGAAGCTTCATAATTAGGTGCACATACATTTAGAATGGCTTTGTCTTCTGATTCTTTTTTCATTGTAAAATACCCTCTTTTATTGTTGGGTAATATTACTTTGCTTGAATTCTACTTATCTGATATTAATATAGCCACATCAGCTCACTTGGGATTGCTCTTTGCATGATCACTTTTTCCACTCTTTTACTTTCAATTGATGTGTGTGTTTGTATAAAATGTGTCTGCTGTAAACATCCTTTTGCCTAGTATTGCTTTTCTGTTCATTTGAACAGTCTCTGACCTTTCACCAGCATGTTTAATCTCTTTATATTTAATGTAAAAATTATGTAGTAGATTTAAATCTACCATTTTGCTATTTGTTTTCTATTAGTCTCATTTCTGTTTTGTTTCTCTGTTCCCTTTCTTCTGCCTTCTTTTAGATTAAACTACTTTTTAAATTTAGTATTTTACCTCGACTTGCTTTGTAACTATACTTCCTTATGTTAATTTTTAGTGGTTTCTTTAGAGATGACAGCATGCATCCTTAGAGCCTAGGCGGAGTTAACATTGTGCCTACTTTCTGCAAAATGCAAGGTCCTTACAACAAATAAGTCCATGCATCCCTGTTTTTCAATCATTGAGATGTATTTCATTTCTCTGCAAATTAAATGCCACAAAATGCAATGTTGTCATTTTTGTTTTAAAATAGCTGCTTTTAAATAAGACAAGAAATTAGACCATCTTTTATATTTACTGTTTAGCATCTATGTTTTCCTGTAGGTCTGTTTCAAAGTGATATCATTTCCCTAAGGCCTAGAGAACTTCCTTTAGTATTTATTCTAGCACACAGCTGCTAACCGCGAATTATCTTCAGTTTTCTTTATCTGAAAATGTCGAGAATTCATCCTAGGTTTTGAAGATGAAAAGTGTTTAGATAAATCAGTGAAATATACCTTTGGCTTATTGTAAGTTTTAGTTCCAGAATTCCATTTTTTATAGTTTCTGTTTATGTTCTGCATTTTCCCATTTATTCATTTATTATCTCTACTTTTTCTTGAATAGTATATTATTTTATGATATAGGTATTTCTATTACATTATGTTATTACATATAAGGTGAGTCCTTTTGATCCCCAAAGACTGTGTTTTATTCTTCATTAGGGGTCATCTCTTTCTGTTTTCTCTGGGCCCTATGGTGTAGCCGGTACTCTCGTGCGTGGCTCTTCTCCATGAGGCACCCTATGGTGTAGCCGGTACTCTCGTGTGTGGTTCTTCTCCATGAGGCACCCTATGGTGTAGCCGGTACTCTCGTGTGTGGTTCTTCTCCATGAGGCGCCCTGTGGTGTAGCCGGTACTCTCGTGTGTGGTTCTTCTCCATGAGGCATGGACTTCTGGGCTTTCCACTGAATGCCCAGGATGCCCATTGAGGTCTCTCTACTCTGCGTGAGCCAAAACTCTAGTTTCTCCCAGCCCTAGGCATCCTCTGTCTTGAAGCCCTCATCAGCTTTCAGCCTGCAGCTGTGGTCCTCTGCTAGGCCACCCGGAATATCCTGCTGTGTGGCAGCTGCTCACCCCTTACCATTAGGACCTGCAGCAAATCCTGAGACAGACACCTGGGACCCGCAGCCCAATGTAACATTTTTCCATATGAGCCGACTCTCAATTAGCTACTGAACAGGCCTCAACTCTGACCTCTGCATGCTCCAATCAGTGAGACTGCTGCTATCATCCCCCTGGGATGCACCTCCCCACAGCAGGGATCTGCAAAGTGCTCCCAGGAAGAGAGGTGGGCAACTGTGGAATTCTCCTTGCGTGTTTTCCTTCTCTTGAGCATCACAGTACTGTGTTGACTATTGTCAAGACCTGAAACAATTGGTCCATATATGTGGTGTATATAATTTCATAGTTTCGTGGCAGTTTTGTTTTGTTTTGCAGAAAAGTGAATTTGATACCAGTTACAGTGGACAGTAGAAGTAAAGTATCTTTTAAAATTAAACAAACAATACATCCATTAAAATCACGTAATGTCAGATCATTCCTTATGATATAACATGTTCTTTATTT